CATACATACATACATATACATACATTGTTCGGCACTCGGGCTCGACGAAGCCAGGAGAGGTCTGTGGTGGCTACAGGGTTTCCCGACATACATACATACATACATACATACATACATACAGACAGACATACTAACGCACACGTATGCTTATATGATGTGTGTATCCTCATGTCTGCAACACATGTCCAAACACTGAAGGTTGCGGCAACAGTATACACATAGACCAAGTCTTCGTTTGATGAAACACAGACGGCGCCTATCAACAGTACGCTTCAGCCCTGAAGCCCCCAATGACCTTCATCTGCCTAACCAATGCAACATCAAGAGACTGGCTGGAAGACGTGCACCTGCTTCGAGTGCTCCAGCTTGCCTGTCCCAAAGGCTGCGCTGAGCGTGCGATCGTCGCGATGATGCTTCTGGTGATTGTGCTAATGGCCACGACAATGATCACCATCTTTCACCAATTTCAAAATGCCAGCAAGCATCCGACCCAAACAACTGTTATGCACTCCACATACTCGCGCGGAAAGCACACCATCATTATCCATCATTCTTGGAGACCGTCCGCAAGTCATTTTAGCTGTCGACAGAAGAAACTGCCAGCGAAAGCTGCATCAAACAAACAAAAGCACCCCGAGAGCCTCTCAGCCGCAGGCCCGTTGACCCATCGGAGTCCTTGTTGGACCGCTCCCCAAAGCGTTTTCCGAAGCTGCTCCTCAGGAGATGACCGAATCGAGGACACGTTGGACCTGTTTCTATCCCCGTCCGAAGCCAAGCAACAGTACGAGAACCGTCCCGGTCCTGATAAGCCCAAGAAAGACCTTAAGGTAACGCCAAGGTTCAAGCGCTCCATGTTCAGAGCATGCTCTTCGCGCACTCGCAGTGGTTCTCTGACCTCTGGCAGGTACCTCAGCGACTTAGTCCAGGACTTGGTCCAGGATGACATGTTGTTTCTTCCGGCGATGCTGCCACTGACAATAATTGTACATCAAGACGGCTGGGGGCCCCTTTATTGGCATCAAAGAAGGCCACTGTCACCAGCCGGCTCACCTACATAATCGCGGACACCTTGAACAACGAAACACCAGCTACAAGACGCCGCTGGATGACTAACCATACTAATCCAAACCGAAATAGCACGCCCACAAAAAGACAACGGCCAATCTTCACGAAGGTTGCTCTGATCATGCGAGGCAGTAAACTGGACACTCGCGAGACAAGTTGGTATCCTGTTTCGTCTGGCCGAGGTCAGCCCTAATCATCCCAAGTCACCCATTCGGATTGTACGTCGCTCTGTAGGGTCTCAGCTCCAAAGGCATAGCCCTCGAGTCGATCTTCTCTGCCTTCTCCTCCTCCATACTTATCCTTGGATGTGCCGACGTGTGTTCTGAAAACGACTTGACGATGTAACCTGCCGGAACTTGGACTTGAACATCTGCGATGCGCTTCACAGGCGCCTCAGCCGGACTCCAGTACAGGGATATAAGAAAAAAGAAATTCGTCTATCCCGCTGCAAAAGCACTTACCAAAACGGCAGCAGGTTCAAGTGAGCCATGAGCAAGCAATCTAACCCGAAGCCTCCTCTGTCGATGAGCACTCCCGTGCTTAGAGTTGTACGTATCGCTGCGACGTGCAAATGCATTGTACCCCCCAGTGTCCGTCCATCCATCCACCCAACCACCCGTCCATCCGTCCATTTATCCATCCACTGGCGACATAGAGAGGCAAAATGTCTGCGCAAGTGTAGTCGTCATTGATTCATGCATGGGTGGCTGGATGTAAAAAGCGCTGCTCAAGTCATGCGCTAGGCTGCATGCTGAGGCTGGGTGCTTTAGACTCTCGCGTGCAGTCGGATGCCTTGCCAGCCCTCACAGGTTGGGTCGTCAACCGAATCCCATGGAAGGCTATGCGTCTGAGGCCGTTCGCGCCGAGCGTCAAAGACTTCATGTACTCCAGCTGCTGCTGCCTCCGGGTTTCCTTTTCTGCCTGAAGCCCTTTGGCTCGCTCCTCCATCGCGCGTTGATAACTTTTTCGGGCAGGACTCTCGATGTGGGTTGGGAAAGTCGATGCTGGGACTTGCCTTGAGTGAGGGCGGTTCCTGTTAACCCTACAGCAGGAAAGGCGTAGGCTTTCGGGCCTAGCCTATGACAGGATCTGAAACGTGCGAAACCTGTTGTTCCTTGTTTGACATTATCTTGAAGAGGCTCTCGCCCACGCTACCACAAGGAGGGAGTCTATTCGGTGCCGATTGCCCAACCCAGTCCTCGGCCGACTCCTCCTGATAAAGTGTCCTGCAGAGACATGCGAGCTCCGGATCTCTCAAGCTTTCCTTTCGAACCCATCTGCCTCACAACAGAAGCTTTGAATTTGATGTGATGCCATGCGCGCCTCGAGGCACAGGCCCTACTCGCCCGATCCACTCCACGCTTGATTCGGTTCTCCTGTGCCCAAGCAGGTCCCCGAACATGTGGCTGCATGGGTTACTTGCAACTTTCTGCGAAAGCTTGATGATTTCTTCATGGCTTCAGCTTGAGACGTCCCCCTGTCAGTACGCACTTGGATCGAGACCCAAGAAGTTTTCAAGGCACGGGCTCAGACTTCAAGACTCCTTTCCTATGCCCGAAAACCCATTTTCAAGTCGTCACATCCTGGTAGCTGTAGGGCTGCCCATCGGTAATGCCCTCATACCAGGTACAGGGGTAGAGAAGATTCAGACTCTGCCGGCTCTCGCCGACCAGGGTCCTGGGCTGGGATCCAAGGCTCAAGGCTCTGGACGCTTGGCATTTCATTTCAGTCATGAAAGCCTGCAGTTGCATTCTGGCCGGCACTATGTTCGTTCATCGAACCAGTCGTAGTTCGAGCATGCTCGGCCACTCCCGCGGTTCAGAATACTCAACAATGCAGCACTTCCGACTTTTCGCGGCGACATCGTGCCTGCGAAGCGCTGCTCACTGAGACTACTCGCAGCCAGCTGCACAAATCGCCGACTAAAGCCTATCCTTTCAAGGCGCGGGGTCCGTAGTCTCTCCGTGCAGAAGCTACGAATTGATGGAAATCTCTCTTTCCATCCCCCGCAAAATCGATGTCCGTGATGCTGCAACCCCTAACGGAGAAATGCAGAACCCCAAAACAGCCAGCGAACAAGCCACAACTCGCACCGGTGCCGGCAGCATGAAAATGGAACACCCCGAAGGTTCCAAAGCTCTCTGCTTCCGCCGGGCGTCCCCTCGTCCCCGAAAGGCTTCAAATGCAGGGCAGTCCCATGGAAAAGCTCCATTGGCCTTCGTTGCCCAGTGCAGGTCCGGAATTCGTTTGCTAAATAAGCTTCTTTTGTGACTGTTGTGTTCGGTGCGCCGTGCAAGCACAGAATCAGGCACCCAAGGGGCTTCTCCAGCACCCGGATGGCGATGAAGGGCTGCAGGATCTCCTCTCAAAGTGTTCAACCGAGGTCCAGCAGTCCGAGGATGGCGATCTTACCCGTGGCTATCACTGCTGGAGGAGCAAAAGCACATGCGATTTTGCATGAGCCTCTTTAGAAGAAGCAGGTGCATCGCCGGTCTACGACACCCTCTCAATGGAACACAACTTTAAACTCTAAAAGAAAAGAATACAAACCATCCCATAGTCACGAGAACACTTCAGCTTGGATCCTTGTCGGGAAGCATGACGTTTACCTTCTGGACCTGGAAAAACCTCGGTCTTTACCAATTACAGTACCGCTTGCAGGCCTCGAGCGAAACTTAAGGTCACGACATGAACCACACGTGAAATACACTGCCTGGCATTTGCGCGTGCGTACATGGTCTCACATTCTCTGGTGCTTGCGACAGTTGGCCGGTTACTTCTTACCGCACTTGCGATGCACCGGTACAGGGTAAAAGCAACTTATGAGACTACACCTCTACCATGCTCTGCACGGCTTTTTCAAAGCATGGCCCAACACACCGAGAAGGCTGGCACTTCTGTACTTTGAACAGAAACACCGCACCGACTTGTCTCAATCTCTAAATCTCGAGTAGCACATGCTTCCACACGAAGATTGAAGCAAAGGCGCTCGAAGTTTCGACAACCCTGCTGGCCCAATGCATCGGTTTTCCATTTGTGAAGGTGGTCGTCTTTGTTGTCTTCCTGCCCTTCTTCCACCAGCTTCTCGTACTTGAAGTTCATGGAGTAGTACCTTGGCATCGCGGTTTCAGTTTCTTTTCTGTCGCCCAACGGTACGATCAGCAGCACGCGGGCTTGTGAGACTTACCATGCGCTTCGGTTGGGTACCACTGCGGGCTTGATAAACAGACCATGTTGCAATCCTTGAAACATCTGAAACCCAAGAGGAGCTCCAAGGCACTTGCTACGCTTGGCGCCTTCCTCGCCTTCCGGCCGCTCGAACCTTGAGAAGCTTACACTTTCCAGCAGGTTCCTGGATCTGGCGATTTAGTGTGTGAAAGCTGTGGTATAGCAATCGCGGCCCTCCCAGAGGCGCCCAAAACTGGCCCGACTCCCTGAACGCAAGGCGCCCACAAATCTTGGTCTTGGACGCTTTGCTACGGAAGTGTGAGTGCACTCTTAGTGTACGGCATGGTCAGTATCCTTTCTACACAACAGGCTCTAATGGCCTGCGGCGCCAAGAAACATGGGGTGGTGCAACGACAGCTGAAGTACCACGGATAGCTGTAACAAAGTAGAACACAGGCTGGCTCGGGGCAGCCGTAGAGTATTGCTGTGTTAGGTACAAAAGGTAAATGGTGAGGTCGGAAGCCACAGGCGAGCCTGCACAGCGATTCATGCACCAGTCCAAACATGCTTGCTCGTCATCTGATTGGCTCTGTCACTCTGGGCAGTGCACCCAGCTTGTCAGTCACTTAAACTGCAGCAATCATCATAGCTTCATCTCGGCCGTTGGGCCACACTGCAGCCAGCTGGGCAGCACCCCGCTGCTTCACACCAAATGTCTTCTTTCATGCTCGGTGCCTGACATGAAACTTCCACTCCTCAAAAAGCCCTCAGAACCTTTCACCTTTAGTCTGCCTCTGCCTCGTCCTCTTTCTTAACAGGCAAAGAAGGGGAAGCGGTACTCCCCTCATTCAAGCGTCGCCGTGGTCTTGGGTTCGGAGTGACCACGATCTATCGGAAGGCGACGAGGCTCGGGCTGCACCAGTGCCGTACTCAGGTCTTTCTTCCTCTAACAAGCCTCTTAATTAAGGGACCCCCTACTCTGCCCGAAACCCAAGAAGATCACTCCACCAAAAGTGCAAGCAGGGAACTTCTTCACCCGGACACTCACCAGGGGCTCCTCACTTCTGCCTCCCATTGGGATCAAGTCTCGCAGCCCATACCTAGGAGGCGCAGCAGGCTTGCACATTGCGGGGCTTCGGGTCCGAGAAGCTAAGTGTGCTTGAGGGGTTAAACCAAAGGATGGTCTTAGGTGCTTAGTGCATCCTGCGCGTCAACATCCATTCAGTATATCATGTATTTGTCAGTCAGCCCTCCCTGCCTTGGGAATCCAAAAGATCTCCAGCTTCAAGTCGGGTGCTCCAGGGGTATAAAGGATTTGGCGCGATATGAATTGTCGCAGCATGGCGCTGACAGCAAGCAAGATGCCAGTCCAACAGCAGGACTCCAGCCCTTGATGACCGGAAAGGCTGCCAAGATGCAGGGAAAAATGGAGAGTGGCCTTTTTGAGCTTGGAGAAGTGCTTGGTTGCATTGAACTCTTCCTCCCAAGCAGCACAGCTTATCTCCAAAAGTACTGAACCAGATACTGATCATTCACCCTCCCGGGTCATGCTGTCGCTACCACCAGGCATGAGGGCTTGCGGCCAAGACTTCGAACACCCCAAGCACCGAGCCGTCGATGGAAACACTGAGTACATGTCTTAGCGTCGCTCCTGGGGAGAGATATTGGGTTGAGAACTTCCAAGGCCCTAAACTGCAAAACCCCAAACCAGAAAGCACGGTGACGCCTCTGACACGGGCCACATCTGGATTGCAGGCAGATCGGCTCGGAACTTGGAGTGAAGCAGCTCGAAACCTGCGGTGTGAGACTGCGGCATTCTTACCTTATCCAACACAGCAGACTCAGCGTGCGAGTTTGGGCTTGGAGTTTCGGGCTTAGCGTTTCCGGATCAGGGGATTAGCCTCCGGCTGCTTAACAGCCCCACCTTCTGCATCCTGGTGACGCTTACAATCCCCGGAAGGGCAAACTCTAGAAACTCTGCCGATATGATGTTTGCTAGAGTTGCTGGGGGCAGACCAGGACTGCAAATTCCTTATGAGTCGCAAGCACTTGAAGCCCCCATCCCTAGCTTTTAGCAGCAACAACTACGCACCTCCGCATCCCTGCCCTGTAATGAGGCTGATTGCACACTTCACGCCCTAATTGATTAGCTTTCAGTACGCTACTTGTTGATAGTAGACATTGGCAAACCTGACTGCTGACGACCCAATAGCTGACCGCCTGTAGAATCCGACGATGTCGCCCTGTGCGACTTGAGACACAGCTGATTCCGGCCTTGTGAGATCCGAAGAAAGAACTGGTGTTAATTCTATTGCAGCAGGCCTATAAGGACTTCGCCCATGGCCACGCTGCCATAGTTCCCGCCAAAAAGCTGTACCCACTGCGGTTTCAAACCTTGGGTGCTACAAGGCGTACAGCTGCTTCATGTTCCGGTTTGGGATTCCAAGGTTAAGAGGCGGGCAGGTGTCTTGTTGCGAATGAAGATGGGATTAGCCCGGATGTGTTCGTGCAGGCACGAAGAGTCTATCTTGTTTTTGCGACATGAGAATCGCAAATGAGGGAGGCATTCGGCGGTTCTGCCTGTAGTGCATAGTGGAGCAAGCTGAACCCATTGAAGCAGAGACTTGAGCCACCCTCGAATGCAAAACTTATACCAGTCCCTGGGATCTCTCGCTCCTCTCATGAAAGCAGTGGTGCCACTTTAGTATCTTCAGGCAGGTTGCGGAAGGGTTCCCACCTGCCCATGTTGTCCTTGTGGCGCATGTACCTGGAGAAGGTATTGTCACACGGTATCTGAACCTGACATACTTCAGGAAGCAAAGGGCAGGCTTAAGGAGCGAGAGCTTTCGTAAGGTCACTGCCAAATCACAACGGACAAAGACCGATCTGCTGCGCTGTCAGAACGCACGATGGCGCATGTGCATGTGTGTGTATATGTGTAGATGCAAGAAAGCAGGCAGGTCAGCCTCTCCTGCTGGAGAAATCAGGGCCAGCACGAGCGAATCCGAGGCCTACTCCAATTCTTGTTGCCATGATTCCTATTTTTGCTTACCGCTGCCTGGGGTACTGCTTTCAGCTTTCAGATATGTGAACTGTTGCCGTTCTCAGTTTTCAAGTCCGACTCTTTGCACACCAAAGGGACTCGTAGGTACACACCGTCTTGCCAATGTCTCTGTCGGCCTGAGACTTTGGAGGACACTGGTCCCTCCAGTGCTACATAGTCCGTTCTCTGCATTTGAGATTTGGGGCTTCCGGCGAGGACCAACGTCCCCGAACAACACCTGTGGCACCGTTTCACTTCCTGTGGGGCTGTGCGTGCTATTTTCAGTTTCACAGCAGTTCACTGTGCCCTTGATCCTCCACAACAATAGTTGGAACTGCTGTCTCACAGTGTCCTTGCCAGATAACAAGCGTTGCTTGCATAAACGGCCTGTTCAACTTTGGGTCTGGTCATGAGCGCCTTAATCTTGTGCCTCCTAACCGAAGACATCCACAAAGGTACACACTGCTGAGATCCATTGACAACGCGAATGGAGGATGCCTGGTCGAGTAGTCCCTACTACAGCAGCACGGAAGACGCCTGAAGTACCGATGCGGAGCTTCCGAAAGCAAGTTCACACAGCGGAAGAGGCTGGGCACACTGAATTGAACAGACGAAGATAAACGGTAAATATCTAGATTTCAGTACACCAACTGTTTCCCACCCGCCCGGCTGACCAAGTCGCACCGCAGGGAGTTTGTTGGAGACTGCACAGTTTGACGAGAGGAGGACTCAAGGACCATACATGTAAACCAATCAACACCCAGGATCTTTCACATAAGTATCCTGCTTTATGGACACCTCTCCCGCAGCCCGAAACGACAGCACTGCCCAGCCTTGACTCCCAAGACGGTCCTGCTATCCAGTAGGGTGACAGTGATTGGCTCCATCGTCGGTGGCTCCTCCATTCGGCAGTCGGCACTACCATCAAAAGCAAGAGAGTCTGAATGTTGCGCAACGAACCCCCAGAACCCCTCGGACGCCACAGAACTGCCAAGTCCACTCAGACTTTGCATGTCCTTCGGGTGGTCGGAGCAAAGTGTAACTCTCAACTCCAGTGGCTTCATCCACATGGGTCGCACCTGCAAAGACGAACGCCGACTTTCAAGAGCCTCTACCTGCCTCTGCCACAACTATCAAGCGGGCTTATGCCGGCTTGAGTTTCGAGGACACTCTGAGTTCTGATTTTGGGGACCTCCTGCCTCTTGCAAACATTGCCCGATGGCGAAATGTTGTAGGTAGGACTGAGGTATACCTGCTTCTGCAGCTCTCTTGACCTGCAGACTGGGCTCTCAATCAGTACGTCGGTGCCTGCCCGAACTCTGGCTCCGTCGTTTTGGATATTCCAGCGCATGCCACACGCAGTGCGAGATTCGCTCCAGCAGTGTCTACCTGGCTGAGAAGGAGAAGCCACCAACTCAACACCCGCTCAGATTTCCTTTTTCAGCAGACTTGAATCAGATGTGAAAACGTTGACACCAAAAGTTAGGTATACGGCCGAGGAGGCAGGAGACGCAAAAACATGCTAGGCTTTGTGTACCAGCTGCTTTGATGTTGCGGGCCATGAAAACGTACGCGCGGACAATGTAGACCATGGGCTTCACCGTCCTGTCAGGTATGTGAGCACGGAGACGCGGACAACTGCTGAGCTCCAAGACATCTTGGCCCTTGAAACCACCAAATCTTCATCGTGAGGTTGCGTCTCTCAACCGGGCACTTAGACGTGTTGTGAGCCTGACGCTACACTAGTATAGCAACTGTAAGCATCAGAGGTGGTCATGAGAGCATACACTCGCAGCTACACTCACTGTGGTCCAAGCAGAGACTATAGGATACTGGTGAAAGGGGTACGAAGGGCGACAAAATCATCGCTTGATCATCATGCTAAGCATCGCAAAACTCCCCACAAGATTACGCGAAGGTAGTTGCTGTTTGGCGGTGGGCTGAACTGAAGAGAAAGCCGTGCCAAAGGAACAGTAGCAGCAATGTTCGAATGCCAATCACAAGCGTGATAATAGCACCCTGGTAACACCCATAGTCACAACGATACTAGCGACATAACAAACCTAGCTCTGACGCATTAAGTAGTGGTTTCCAAAATAGTAGTAGTGCGAGGAGCACACTTGTAAGTTCAACACTAGGCACACCCCACATACAACTATCGAAGGCACACCCATCGTGCCAAGCAGAAGCTGCGCAGTAAGGTGCAGGGAGTACATGACAGGCAGCCCGTTTCTTTACTATTTTCGAAGTGCATTGGGTCGTGGGGCCAAGATCATCGACCATGCGGTTATGATGCTTCGGGGCGGGGTCCTTCTACACTCTATACGACCCCCTGCCATGCTGGCACTCTCCAGACGGACTATCGCTCTTCTTGCATGATTTCTGACCTGCCCCCAGCAGAAGAAAGCGGCGCCCTGACTCCGGATCCCGGCCTCCGGTTATGCCTCGGCACATCGTCGGTGGTGAAATGCTCGATGACCATGAGGACAGATCCAGGGATCCGCGCGTGCATGTTGAACCTGAAATGAGTCGTTTGGTTTCGACCATCGCAAGTCGGCGAGGGACAAGCGAGCGGCTTGATTGGTTTGGGGCACTGGCGGCAGTGTGTGCAGCCTACTTCAATTAGCCTGTTTATCCAAGTGTTCCTCTTGATGGAACACTCTGCTATCTGCACGAAGCCCCGTCAAGCACCTGTAGTGTGATGAATATCATCATACTCTGAGTCTTGATCTCTGACTTCAGACTTCACATCGGCCAGGCGGCGGCATTGGTTCCAACGGGATGTAGCGCGGACGCCCGGGACTTCCTAAGTTTTGGTCTCTCGTGGCCTATCATCATACGGAGGACTAAGCCCAAAATGTCCCAAAACCCTACGCATCTCACCATAGGACCGGAATCGCAACATACACCAAGCTGCCCGGCTCGTATTTTTTGAAGTTTTCCAGTTGCCTCATGGCGTAACCAACTCGGACCTTTCCGGAGAGCACGCCGCGAGTATAGACATTGACCTGGAGGGAATAGGTGCGGTGTCAGTGAAAGAACCCACCCCATCGAATGACAGTCACTTATTTATGTACCGAAGAACACGAGTCACGACACAACCAAAGCTTGCTTGCTAGCAAGCTTCAGCCCCAATGCCCCATGCTTCCCCTATGTGGTGACGTGCCCGAACGACCTACCCGACGGCAGCCCCGAAATTGGGTTGCGACTTGCCACACACCTCCATCACTGTCCGAGAGATACCTCTAGCTCAAAACCCAGGACCCACGAAGGTACTTTCTGCAAGTCGTCAAATTCCCAAACAAACGCCACACCCCAAGCTCAGGAACGTCGACTCTCGGAACCTCTCAGACTCGCACAAACTGCTTCCCCCACCCCCGCGCCCCCCGGGCGCACCATGACCAGAGGCTGCGACTTCGCCTCCTCGGGTGCCATGGTGAGGATGGGGTCGATTCGACCTTGATCCTGCCGGAGCCGGAAGTAGCTGCCAGGGCTTTGATGTCTTTGTTGCTTTTCAAACTCGGATACTTCGTGATGCTTCGGACCAGAGGCTTGCCGATTGACTGTAGCAACTGCGTACGCACATTGACATGCCGGATGTCCTATACCTCTGAGATTCACTTCCTACGCGCATCCAGCGCAGCCCTCCAGGCTCTCTTTGCAAGGTCCTGCGTGAAACTGAACGTGGTGACCTCCTCCACGTCGAAAATCTTATCGTCCTCCCCGTAGTCATGAACTAGGCCCTCAGCTGCCGGATGCTGGCCAAGGACTGCCAAGCGGGGCCTACCAGGAGCGACCAGACCCGGCGAACTGAACCAGGCTCGAGATAGCAGTTGCGCATGGTCGTTCCGTGATGAAGCGGGTTGAAGCGGCTTCTGTAGATTGCATATGGCTGCCTGCAATGGCCCTCTTACGCTGCACGCACAGCTCAATCGACCTTATAGCTCATTTCGGATTTCAAACTGCACTAGTTGCTGGAGCCAGAGTCTTGCCAGGGAGCCCCTTTATCGTGGGCTTCGATGGTTGCGATCTTGTCAAGGCCACCAGGAGACACCCAGTATTTGGTCTCCTTGGTACTGCTCCTCGGATGGGCGGACCCGAGTGTCAAGCGGTTGATGGAGAAGGTCTCTCACAAGGCCCTTCGGTACTGGTACCCTGTCAGAACATGTGCATATCAGAAGTGCTTTCTTGTTTAATGACCAGGCAACCTTTTTCCCGAATTGCTTAACCTACTTCTTCCTGTGGTGAAGTGCTAAGGCCGGCAAAGGCTCCCAAAGGCGAGCTGGACCTGACATTCGCGGCCGGCGGCTCCACAAACCTCGCGAAGGTGTCTGGAACTCTGAACAGGAACTTACAAACACATCGCCAAGACCGAAACCTGAGCGCCAAAGTCGCGATGCTCTCACACCCGAATGCCTCAAGTTGACAACGGCTTCACATGAGACCTCGTAGACGTCCGCTAGCAACGCCAGCTGCATGTTTCTCGGCTCCACCGCACCTCAAAAGATCGAAACTACGGCAGCAATCCTCACAGAACAACATCCGTCGGACTTCGGCTTTTAGGCTCTAGATGTATCCGAGCTGGCGCTTCCCAGGATTTTGCCCATGCTTGGAGAGAGGCGACACCCGTGAAACAAGTGCACGAGCTATTTTCATTCTTGATTCTGATGATGCACCATTTCGCAAGGCCGAGGTCCTTTTACCAAAGGGCTCCTAAACGCTCCTCCTCCTCCTAAATACTGGGCTTCTGGGTTACATAACATATGACTGGCAAGCACTATTCAGGTAACTAGAGCCCCAAGCCCAAGGGTAAGCCAACGTCAGATGAGGCGCTTCTGGCGGTTGTGATCCCTGCGGGCATCATGGTCTCGTCTGCACCAAGTCGCTCCACACGGCCAGAGATCAGCAGCTTGCCTGCTATGGTATTATACTGACAGCCGCAGTAGCATGTTGTAGCATCTGCAAACTCATCACAATTTACAAACAATGACATGCTGTATGATATTATGTCTTGTTATGTCATGTCATGTCCTATCCTGCCACAAACCATGGCTCGTGGCCCCGGGTCTCGAGACTCGGAGTATACCTCGCACTCTGAGAGCGCAGGAGTCTAGCAGTCTGGCGATCAGAGTACTGGATCTCCGGAGCTTGGGTCGCCTTCTCTAGATCTCGTGTCCGATTGCCTTTACCAAACTGGAAGCCCCAAAACCCGGAGTACACCTTCAGCTACTGCAGGGAAACGACTATGGTTTCCGAACGAACATCCCAGCGTCGTCGACTTGGACGCCGCGCGTTAATTTCTAGTACTTGCACCCATACTTTTGAAGATGGAGGCTGTCGTGTCATTTCTGGTAGAGCCAGGATGCCCTTGAAGAAGTTGGGCTTGATGTTCTCCCCACTCTTGGAAATCCTCGGTGTGCAGTGGCGGCCGCTGAAAGGATGTTCGCCATTGGCTCACAATCGTTTATCCGCATAAATTGGCTTGGACCCTTCTCCTTCACCAAAATCACCCGGAACAAGTTCCGCCGAGTATGGAACGTTGGAAGAGAGCCGTTTCAATGGCACTCTGCATGTCGAAAAAAGCGAGGCTTGCAAATGCCCACACTACATGTTGACGACAAGTAGGTACCCTGCATGGGGCCTGTGACCACGAAGCTAAACATTCACACTGTTCGCAACCGCCCACACTCGCTGCTAAGTATTTCGGACATCTCAGGACTACAGGAAGTACTGCCACCTGCTGTTCCATTGTGGACTAAATTTTGCCTGCATGGTCGGCCCAGGCGCTGCTTCACATCTGGGACCTCCTCGGTGTCCCAGCCATAGAGGCAGAACCTTCGCACTCCCGGAAAAACCGCAGCCTAAGGCAATCGGCTTGAGCCTTTCGACGTGTGGAAAGTACAAAGGGCGGGAGAAAGGGCACGTGAGCCGGGGGATTCCTCAGATCTCGGTCTGGAAGTTCCGGAGCGGTGGAGATTTCCTAACATTCGTGCTCCCTTCTGGGCTGGACTTCGGGAGCCTAGACTTCACCCAAGGCATGGCGTGGAAGCTGAAGTAGCAATGCCCATGTCAACATGTTCTTGGCAGCAGTGGCAATGTCAACATGCCAACGCAGCCGCCGTAGTTCTTCGCAGTCGGTGTCCTCTGTGGTAGAGGTAGTTAGTGGCAGGGGCAGTGGCAGTCGTTGTCATCGTCATGGAATTGGTGGTAGTGGTGGTCCTGGTTGGGGTGGCGGTGGCGGTGGTGGTGGCGGCGTCAGTAATCCATCAACGGCGAGGTGCCAACGCGCTGGCAGAGAATTGTTCCTGGAGGATGGGACTGGATTCGGCTTGGGAATCTAAGCGCTGCCGCTACCAGTAAGACTGCAGAAATACTTGCGTACATTTGTTACATACAAAAAGGCAACCCAGGCGACATCGCCGGCGCAATGCCGATGCTACGAACAATACACTATTCGACCTTTTATTTCGTGCTGTAAACTAGCTTCGCACTACAGTTTCTTTACTAATCTTCAAACTCTGGACTGCAGAATCCACTTCAACCTCGCAAGCCCCATCAATGAGGAGCCCCCTCCTGAGCTCGCTGAAGGAGATCAGCCCCTGCGCTAGCCTGGTGAGTTAGCAAAGATCGGGAGAAACCGCACATGACTTCATGGAGAGGCTGCATAAACTGAATTCTCTACAGCTCAGGTATGAATTCTAACTCCTATAAAGGAAGTTGAGAGGGACTCTAAAGGAATCGATTCATGCTACGTGCAGAGAGATCATGCTGACGATTCCTGTGCCGTGGCGTTTCGTCTGAGTGCATACAGCAAGACCGCCTGCGATAAGATGGACGCAGCCTACGAGACAAGACTACGTACAGATGTGTCTCTGTGTGTGTCCATATGTAAACTTGAAACCCGTGCACCTGGAAGGGTTACAGTTTGAAGCCTTGGCCCAAACGTCAAGCAATCTGTTGCGAGGACCCCCTACGCAGCCCAACACCGCTTTGCGGAAGAAGCTTCTCGAAAGGATTCAGACAGGATCAACGTCGGACGTTGTCAGTTAATCGTCGTTACCAAGTGACCATATAACACTGTCGCCTGTGTCCTCGCTAACTACTACTATCTATGGGCATTCCACCTGAAAGTTCACAATTACTGATGGCTGCCGCTGTGTTTGTTCCTGCTACTGTCATGCCTGTCGACCTCGGGGTGCGACGGTGTAAGTTTAAGTCTCATCAACCTGGTAGCAAAACAAGTCTTGACTGCTGTACCAGAAAAAGAGAACGAGCCAAGCCGCAGGGCATCTGGGGTCATCGTTAAGGCAGATCCCCCACTCCAGAGTTTGATGAGGATGGTATCCTGGTAAGAAGGGATCCATTGCTTAGCAATTTCGCGCAGTTTCTCATCGCAACAACAAATATAAGGGCTTCGAACGATCCGGGGATCTAGGCTTGCATAAGGGCTTCTGAACTGTCGTGGAACTTGGATGAAGGTCTTCAGGCTGGAAGCTGGACATTCCCGAGACCAGAATCACAAGGGAAGATGGAGGAACGGTAGACCGGCGGAGTGTACGTCAACATTCCTAGGGCCTCACGACATCAATCCTGGAGGTCAAGGACAACAAGCTAACCGGAAGCTCAGCCTGACGCATGCGAGTCCTCATAGACTGGTGTCTGCACAGGTATTCTGGCACACTCGTTCCAGGTGTACCTGGGCTCGGGCCGGGGCAAAGCTACCAAGCCCTTACTGTAGGAACTTACATGAAGTTTGGGCATGCTCACAGGAAGTGCACGTAGGAATCCGTCAGCCACGTTTGACTCGAACAGTTGCGCATGCCTCAAACCAGCTCTGCTGTTTAACGAGCTTCAGCTGTAAAATTTCCGTCCACGCACACAGCATGGACTTAATATCGACACAATGCATGACATAGCAACCGCTCACTTTGGGCCTGAAAGCGGGCTCCAGCAAAGCTCGACAACAGAACTGTTTCCAGCAGCTTACATAACAACAAAACCATGCCTGTTTCAATTTCCCATATGGCGATTACTTGTTCGTTTTGTTCTCCTCAGCGGTTCTGATCAGCAGTCTCGCGATCGGCATCACCTCTGATGATCTGCTTGTTCTTTTAACTACATTCGAAAAATATTTCAATTTCCGTCTGGATCTCCACACCAGAGCTGGCCCTTCCAACACTTCAACAGCAATGCCATGGCACTGCTCCACGTCGTACGCGGGCGTCGTTCTCACGCCTTGGCAGAACATGGGCACAAGGGCGTTCACAGTGCAACAAGCAGTTTTCTAGAAGTACTGCCGGAAGACTCGACCTTATGATCACCAACTGCTAAGCCCGAAGAGCCAAAACTTAAGACTCGACACCCAGAACGCGGAGACCTAAACCCTTAACCTTCAGACAAAAACCAGACAGGCCCTTCTTCAAGGCCGGCAGGCA